CTGCGGACTTCCAATGAAGGAGGCCAGAAACCATCTCAAGGAGATCAGAAGAAATGACAGCATGTGAGTTAATTGAGTGTCAGCAGCCAAAGCTCTAAGACTTCATGGACCATGGTATTTCAGTTTATCTTTTATAAATTTGCAAAAATTTTCTACATTTCTGTTTTTTTCTGTCAAGATGGTGCTGAGGTTACATTAATGAGAAATAAATGAACTTTGTTTGATTTTAGCAAAGATGGCTGCAATGAAAAAAGGAGTGAAAATGCTAAAGGGGTCTATACTTTCCGGTACCTGTACACTATACAGAGCAAAACAGTGTTAAGAATATTAAATATACGTATCAAACATAGCGACATGAAAGTAATTGGCAAAAATAAGGTGCACAGTCCTACAGGGTAGTACATTTGCAAAATATAAATAGGCTACATACAATTGTTAAATGAATATATATATTATTGTACATTATGGTATGGGAATATTGCACGGGGTTATGGTACTGCCACAGTAGTAAGGTTTTTAACACGTGTTTAATACGTGACTACGGAGAGTCCGTCGGTTCGTTGGGGTGGTTGCTATTCGAAATCAGTGCATGGTGAGGTTTCAAGGGTGGCTTATTGCTTTTGGTAAGAAGCTTTGTTTTTGATTATTATTTTAGTCGCAATGCACCTGTACGCCTCGTGGAGACAAACAGGCAATCAGGTCAAAGCCCAGGGTTGGCGAGCTGTCTTTGGTGATGGTTTTAGCTCTGCCCTGAGGCAGGCGAGGTGTAAATGGTCCATCAGGGAGAGGAAGGCAGCACATGATCTTCTGTGCTGCCTTTGTGACAAACCACTGGGAGCCTCTCCCTGTCTGCAACGGTGCAAGCCTCGCCTTACCATACTGGATACAGTATGTCAGCAGGCTCTGCGAGGATGGAGCGGTAGTAAGGTCAGCAGTAGGTTGGAGTTTAGGTTGTTGCTTGCCCTAGGACTCTCAGGAGTGTAGCCGGCGCTGACCTTCTTGATTATCCCGTGATGCTGGCTCTTCCAGTAGATTCCGGAGATGAGAGACCGCAGAAGGTAACCTGAAGGTTGGTGGACCCCTCTCCACGCACTCCGGCGCCCGTTGGACGCCGACCCCTTCCTCTCTCTTTTTTCGGCCCCTCCGTGTCGTCTCCCACCCCCCCCCCCCCCCCGCCCCCCCCCCGTGGGAGTGTAAAAGGGCTGGTTGGTGCTGCTTGCTCCTGAAAGTTATATGGTGCATCTTTCTTTTTTCTTGGTGTTCAGAGCGGAGGTTATTCTGCTGAAACACCAGGCTGGCCAACTTCAGGACCTCCGTGCTCTGCTAGCTGGCCTCATCACCCTATAGAGATGGAGTTAACCCACTGTAGGTGTCGTCGCCAAACTTGGACGGATGGAGATTATTGTGATGGGAGACTTTCTTCGCACTGGGATTTCGCTACCGATTTTAGGCACGACGATGATTGCCTGGCCAGAAGTTAAACTCCTTGGAAGTGCCGACTTACGCACGTTCTGACACGTTTGCCATTACTCGTCCTCTGGCAGCCTTTCTTAGGGTTCACTGCCGGGAGCACCCGTCTGACATCGGCTGCTGCCACGGTGGAGTGGAGGTGGTGCAGGAGCCAGGGTGGGTGGGCAGGGCTGGGCTGTATGGGTGCTGCTGAGATGTTTCAAAGCGAGCAAAGAAGTTTAGGGTTCTCTGCCATGTGGCACACTACAGGTCATCTGCAGACGCCTCACAGCTCTGAGTTGTGTGATGTCTTGTATGCCCCGCCACAGCCTACCCGTCATTGTTGTTGCTTGGACAGGTGGGACTCTACTCGGCACTTGCTGTGTGGTCCGCCTTGGCTCTTTTTGATTGGCCTCTTTTCAGGTCAGCTCGAGCAGCTCTGGTACAGAGCTCTGTTCCCGCTCTGACCTGAAGGCAGTGTCGCGGGCCCTGAGGAGTGTGCGAACCTGGCTGGTCATCCAGGGTTTCTGGTTTGGGAAAGCCCGGATGTTTTTGTCCACAGTCACATTCCCGATGCAGAACTGGATATAGTCCAGTACCGTTCCTGTGAATGTCTCCAGCTCCTGGTGTCCCAGTCTGTTGAAGCAGTCTTGTAATTTGAAGAGTGCGTTCTCAGGCCAGGTTGTAAGAGTCTTTGTGGTGGGCCTGGCCCTGCGTCTGAGGGGGGTGTAGGCTGGGGAAAGCAGGAGGGAAAGATGGTCTGACTGGCCGAGGTGGGGGAGGGGTATGGCTCTGTACGCGTGCTTAATGTTGTGTAAACATGATCCAGAGTGTTCTCCCCCCTTGTAGAACACTTGACATGCTGGTAGAACTTCGGGAGTACAGTCTTCAGGTTGGCCTTGTCCCCTGCAATTATGTGAACACCGTTGGGGTGGGCCCGCTGCTGTTCGTTTATGGTGTTCAGCAGGAGAGAGAGCGCTGTGTTTACACTGGCGTCGGGTGGAATATACACAGCCGTAACGATCACAACAGTTAGCTCTCTCGGCAGAAAAAAAGGCCGGCATCTTACAGACATGTACTCGACGTCTGGGGAACAGTGTCTGTCTATAATTGTCCCGTTGTTACACCAGTTGTCATGCACATAAATACAGAGCCCCCCTCCTCTGCAATATATTGTGATCTTGATAATATTTCAATTAATTGTTCAACCCTTGAATCAACAGTGACATATTGGATGGACATTGACACCTACCAAACCAAACTGAAAGTGCTGGTTAATGTTGAATACTTTCTACTAAAATTTACATTAATTAACAAGAAACCAGACCTTTTCATGCCATTTTCTTTATTTATAGAACATTTGCACAAAATTAACTATTTTATAAATTTTATAACCAGGACCAATGAGAGTGGTAAGGAGAAAGGAGGGGGCTAGTGGTGTTTGTCAATGATAGATGGTGCAATTCTGGGCACATCACTATTTAAGAACAACTCTGCACAAAGGACATGGAGCTGTTAGCCATTAGCATGAGGCCTTTCTACCTACCAAGGGAATTATCGCATGCCATAGTGATGGCTGTGTATATTCCCTCATCTGCAAATGCTGACATGGCCTGTGACTGTTGTGTTTATTGTAAAACTAGTTCATGGCTGATGAGATGGTGATGTGAAGCTCTGGCTCTGGTGGTGAAAAAATAATGGCTGTGATCTGGGTAGTGTGCCTGAGCAGCAGGAGCAGGCAAGCTGGCTGAAGTGCAGGTCAGAGCACTGATGGATACAGGTTTTAGTTGCGATACATGAAACGTGGGATGTATTCTCATTGAACCAGGAAGCTTGAGTTTGATAACTAAGGGGTAATTAATGATTTCAATTTGAAAGGGACCAATGTAGTCCAGTCCAGTGACGATTAATGATTTGTCAGTTGCAGTCTGCGGAGTGAAGCAGGGCAGAACGGGAATCTCTTCAGATCTTCTGACAGCGACGAAGGTAAGCCTGGACAGAAAAAACTGCAATCTTCTCCTCCTGAACAGAGAGCAGAGAGGGCTGACAGCCCAATGAACACTGAAAAGGGGACATACCAGTGGCTGCGCTGATGAGAGTTGTGGGAATATTCCACCTAGGCAAGTTGTGTGCTCCAAGAAGATGGGTTGTGATGCAACGGAGGGTAGCTTCCAGGTCCTGATTAACTTGTTTTGTTGTGCATTGGTCTGGAGATTTAAAAGATTTAAAGAGAAGAGACTCACCAAGGATTCTCAAACTTGAGAGATGAATTAAGGGCCATGGTCAGAATGTCCAAAGGGATCCAATGCAGGTGGAACACATGATGAACTAGGAGCTGAGTGGTACAGCAACCCGACTGTAGTCTCTGATGAAACAACGGTAAAAGTTTGCGAAACCAAGAAACCATTGTAGTTCTTTCAGGTTAGTAGGTCTTGGCCA